CTATGTTGATACCACAAGGTCAGCAGAGAGGGTAGGGTGGCTTGGAAGCTATTAACAGCCAGAAGATCAAGTTGATACACGCAGAAATCAAATACATGTGCACGAAAGATTGTGTTTTTGTAGTAGATTCACTTTTGCCATGAAATGCTAAGGATGTTTACTCAGAAATGTTCAGTGGGGTTTATTCTGAAGTAAATTTGCAAAATGCAACCTCAAAGAACTTCACTAAGAACAAACTAAGTGATCTTTTTAGATGGTCCTTGTTTTATACCTTCTAGTATCTTTTAAAGCTATAGTTTTAAAATGCCCCTTTCCCTGATGCTTTTTATCTTGCTCTGAAATGTTGTTAGTGCTGTTTATCTTTGCTTGTTTAAAAGTGGCCTCTCTAGTTTTATTGCGTGTTGTTATCATTTATGTCATGCCAAACATTTCAACTATTGGATGATCTATCAATAAAATAAAGCAATAGAGAAATTCCAGTTCTGTAATTGTTTGGGGGCAGTACTGGTAAGGATGGTCTGCTGTTGCCTATTGCCCACCATGTAGTGTTTACAAGAAGGGTATGTGGAAAGTACACAACATTTGATCACCATCCTTATTGCAGTAGTGTTATGATGAGATGGTAGAGGGACTCTCAGTGCAACTATGAGAAAATTACTGAAGAAAAAAATTGTCTGCAGAATTTTAGAAACAATGACAAAGAACGGAGAAAGCTTACATCTTACAGTGTTGCATCTTACTCATTTCTGGAACAATAACTTACAATAGCTTTCTGAAATAGCTGAATCTCAAATGTCGCAAGTTCAAACAGTTCTCATCATAAATATTTTGATGCAGTCTGTTCTCCCCAGGAGATTTTTCAAAGAAATACACCATAAATTAATGTACTGGCACAGCTTAGTGTAACTGTTACATTCAGGTAATTCAGTGCCTACATTGGATTAGGTATGCTGACTTCATGAAGTATCAAAAGAATGCAGTCTGGTAAGATATTGGACAAGAAAGCAGTGCGTCATGTTAATGTCAGTGTTTGTGCATAAAGTAATTCTGTTAGCTGCTTCTCATGTTCCAAGAAAGCAGCAATAAATGAGTTTAGCATCAACTTTCTGTATTCTCAAGTTGAGTTGCCAACTGACTATCAAATGACAGTCTCATATTTTAGAAATTGTTTGTTTAAATGTGCTTTTGCATGATACTCCTCAAGATGTAAATAGCAAGGCTTTCTCCACCCACCCTAGCCTTCCATCATCCAAAACTATGATGTTGTTACTACAATGCATTTATATTGTACCCAAGACAACATGCAAGGTTCATTTTTTATTTACTTTGGATGCCACCCCACTAGCCATAGGCTCTCTGAGAGGCTTACATCATGATAAAATCTGTATATACAATAAACAATATAATCTACAGCACAACAAACTCCATGATTGCAATGAGGCCAATAACAATGAAAATCCATAAAGAAACTACAAAAACTAAATAAGGCAAGATAGCAATAGAGAGAGCCAGTGAGAGCCAGTGACTGGTCAAAGTCACCCAGTGGTTTTAATGGCAGAATAGGGACCGAAACCCATATCTCCTTAGTCCCAGTCCAGCACTTGAACAACTACACCTACAGGCTTTGCACTGCAGATAGAATTTGCAATGAGCTCTATCAAAAGCATAGAGTGACAGTGCAAAAATAAACAACCAAAGCTGGTTATGTTATGTTATGTTAGTCGCAAAGTCTTATCTGACCCATCATGACCCCACGGACAACATTCCTCTAGGCTCTCCTGCCCTCAACCATCCCCTGGAGTCCACCTAAGCTCACACCGACTGCTTCAGTGACTCCATCTAGCCACCTCATCCCCTGCCATCCCCTTCTTCTTTTGCCATCTATTGTTCCCAGCATTAGGCTCTTCTCCAGGGAGTCCATCCTTCTCATTAGGTGGTCAAAGTATTTGAGTTTCATCTTCAGGATCTGACCTTCTAAAGAGCAGTCAGGGTTGATTTCCTCTAAGACTGGCTGCTTTGATCTCCTTGCAGTCCAAGGGACTCACTGGAGTCTTCTCCACCACAATTCAAAGGCCTCAGTTCTTCAGCGCTCAGCCTTCCTTATGGTCCAACTTTCACAGCCATACAGCACAACTGGAAAAACCATAGCCTTGACTATACGCACTTTTGTTGGCAGGGTGATGTCTCTGCTTTTTAGAATGCTATCTAGATTTGCCATAGCTTTCCTTCCAAGGAACAAGCGTCTTTTAATTTCTTGGCCTGCAGTGCCTGTCTGCGGTGATCTTGGAGCCCAGGAAAATAAAATCTGTCACTACCTCCATTTCTTTCCCACCTATTTGCCAGGAAGTGAGAGGACCAGATGCCATGATCTTAGTTTTCTTAATGTTGCATTTCAAGCCAACTTTTACACTCTCCTCCTTCACCCGCATCAAGAAGCTCTTTAGTTCCTCTTCAATTTCTGCCATGAGAGTGGTATCATCTGCATATCTAAGGTTGTTGATATTACTCCCGGCAATCTTAATTCCAACTGGTGATTCATCTAGGCCCGCCTTTCTCATGATGTGCTCTGCATATACGTTAAATAGGCAGGGCGACAGTATACAGCCTTGCTGAACTCCTTTCTCAATTTTGAACCAATCAGTGGTTCTGTGTCCAGTTCTCACTGTTGCTTCTTGACCCGCATATAGGTTTCTCAAGAGACAAATAAGATGGTCTGGTACTCCCATCTCTTTAAGAACTTGCCACAATTTGTTGTGATCCACACAATCAAAGGCTTTAGCATAGTCAATGATGCAGAAGTCGATGTTTTTCTGGAACTCCCTAGCTTTCTCCATGATCCAGCACATGTTGGCAATTTGCTCTCTTGTTTCTCTGCCTCTTTGAAACCCTATCTGTACTTCTGGTAGTTCTCGCTCCACATACTGCTGGAGCCTAGCCTGTAGGACTTTGAGCATCACTTTGCTAGCATGTGAAATGAGTGCAATGGTGCAGTAGTTTGAACATTCTTTGGCATTGCCCTTCTTTGGGATCGGAATGTAAACCGACCTTTTCCAACCCTGTGGTCACTGTTGAGTTTTCCAAAATTGCTGGCATATATAGTGTAGTACTTTAACAGCATTGTCTTTTGGGATTTTGAAAAGCTCAGCTGGAATACTGTCACCTCCACTAGCTTTGTTGTTGCTCAGACTTCCGAAGGCCCACTTGACTTCACATTCCAGGATGTCTGGTTCGAGGTCAGTGACCACCCCATCGTGGTTATCAGGGACATTAAGACCTTTCTTGTACAGTTCTTCTGTGTAATCGTGCCATCTCTTCTTAATCTCTTCTGCCTCTGTTAGGTCCCTGCCATTTTGGTCCTTTATCATGCCCATCTTTGCATGAAACATTCCCTTCATATCTCCAATTTTCTTGAAGAGATCTCTGGTTCTCCCTATTCTATTGTTTTCTTCTATCTCTTTACACTGTTCATTTAAGAAAGCATTCTTATCAATTCTAGCTATTCTCTGGAATTCTGCATTCAATTGGGTGTATCTTTCCCTTTTCCCCTTGCCTTTTGCTTCCCTTCTTTCCTCAGCTATGTAAAGCTTCCTCAGACAGCCATTTTGTTTTCTTGCATTTCTTTTTCTTTGAGATGGTTTTAGTTGCTGCCTCTTATACCATGTTGCGAACCTCCATCCATAGTTCTTTGGGCACTCTGTCTATCAAATCTAATTTCTTAAATCTATTTGCCACCTCTACTGTATATTTATCAGGAATATGATTTAGGTCATACCTGAGTGGCCTAGTACTTTTCCCTAGTTTCTTCAATTTAAGCCTAAATTTTGCAACGAGAAGCTCATGATCTGAGCCACAGTCAGCTCCTGGTCTAGTTTTTACTGACTGTATAGAGCTTCTTCATCTTTGGCTGCAGAGCACATAGTTAATCTGATTTCTTTGTTGACCATCTGTTGAAGTCCATGTGTAGAGTCATCTCTTGGGTTGTTGGAAAAGAGTTTGCTATGACCAGCATGTTCTCTTGACAAAATTCTGCTTCATTTTGTACTCCAAGGCACTTGCCTGTTATTCTGGTTATCCTTTGGCTTTCTACTTTAGCATTCCTATCTCCCATGATGATAAGGACATCATTTTTGGGTGTTCATTCTAGAAGGTGTTATAGGCCATCATAGAAGCAGTCAACTTCAGCCTCTTCAGTCTCTTGAGCAAAAAATACCAAAATTGAACCAGTTTAGCAAATAGGCCTGAATATATAGCACAAAATTTGGAAAGACACTCCACTTTTCTTATTAGAAAGGTGCACTGTTTTCAGCTTTATCCGTGGTGGAAGGGAACCCTAAAATATTACAAAATGAGTCTTTAGCATGTAATTATAAAAAATACAACTAAAAGCACAGTATCACAAAATGAGTTTGCATTATAATAATGTCTAGCACTCATAATAACTCTGTGGAACTTTCACATTCAGAGGAAGACATGCCTCCAAATACCATTCGGTGGGGAACATTTGTAAGAGTTGGCCATTGCCTTAAGGCCATGGGTGGTGTTGTCATGCTTTCTGGAAGCATCAGAGTGGTCACTTTGGGAAATGGAATGTTTGACTAGACTTCCATTTGGTCTGATCTAACAGGTCTTCTCTTATAAACACGTAAGTTCTTGGCTCATATCACTGCTTTCAAGCTAAATGGCCACATGCATTATTCTCACCTGAAGCTTCCCATATGGCATCTTGAATAATGTGTAGGATATTTACTGAAGTTCTAAAATTAAGTAGATAGAATTTCCAAATCTATTTTATTAAATATGAAAAGGCAAATAGTAAATGCAATATTTAAAAATCTTTGAGCTGCATTCCTGGTTTCATTTAGAGGAGAATGACAACTTCTAATGGGTTTTGTGAATGTTTATGTCATAATAGTTATCTAATCAGTATTATATTCCATGAACTAATATTGCATTGACTGTCATTGACTATATTCAAAGTCTTTTACCTGTTTATTCTCTAGCTAATAACCTCGATGCTGTCCATGACATAACAGTGGCATATCCTCAGAACATTCCTCAAACTGAGAAACATCTTCTCTATGGGAACTTCCCAAAGGAAATTCATTTTCACGTCCACAGATATCCAGTACAGACTCTTCCTGCCTCTCGGGAAGAGCTGCAACGCTGGTGTCAGAAGCGATGGGAGGAAAAGGAAGAAAGGCTGCGTTTGTTCTACGAAGGCAAAAAATACTTTGATGTGACAGGGAGAAGCAAGATTCCACCCTGTAAATCTGAGCTCAGGGTCATGGTTGTTAAGTGTATTTCACTCTTGTACTGGACATTTTTCACACTGGCTGTGTTTGTGCTGCTATACTGGTATAGCTTTGTACGATGGTATTTTGTGACTGTGGTTGTCATTTTTATTGTCCAACAAAAACTGTTTGGTGGGCTTGAATTGATAGAACTTGCATGTCATCAGTTTTTTAGTAAGAAATAACAGAAGTCAAGAGGAGATTAAATTAAAGTGGTTGAGTCTGTGGATGTTTTTCAGGTGTCCTACAGTGTTTTCAAAGTGTGGGAAGATTTGCATGAGAATCATTACTCTTTCTTAGTGCTGTCATTGGCACTATACAGTTACAGTGTAAAAGGAAAATTGTAGGTCCTGTGATTTTTGTATTTTTTGAATGTAACATGAGTGTGTCTCTTGCTCGCAACTAGCATCTGCTATGTTGCTGCAAAACAATTTGCTGATCAATCAAAGTTGAGAGCCATTGAACCTTTTGAATGTGTAGCTCTAAATAGCTGGGCCAATGGTGGAGCTAAAAGTAGTGGGCTATGATTTCTCCACAGCCTTTCCATAAATAAAATGTGAGGTTTCACAGTTCCAGCTTATTTACTGATTCATATTTGCCTCTTTCTAATATTTCCCTCTGCAGAGGAATGATATGTCATCATTAACATCAGCAATTTTTCTGGCATGTGGATGAGAAAACAAAAGTCAGGGCCTTAATATAGGTCTATTCTATTGTGTACAGTTTTGATACGCCTCTTCTCTCCCTGTTGAATTCTTCCAATTTCTACATTTAAATCCTGCTTTAAAACAAATTTGATCAGGGTTTATCACTAAGTAAACATGACAGAAGTTTCTGTGCACAGCTGAATTAGGCATTGTCATCCTCACATATATTAAATTGTCCATAGCATCATACCACATTCAGGTTGCTATGTCTATGTCCTGTGAATAGTTTGTCATATGTTAAGATAAGAGGCAGCTTCAGAACTGGGTTGGCCTGCAACATAATCCCATAGGAAATTGTTCATTAGATAGAGAAATATATCCAACACAAACTTGACAACCAACAAAAATCAGGGAAAAGGGGGCAAGAATCTAACCTGAATGGGGGGTGGGGGGGAAGAAACCTGACTAGGGGAAATTAACTTTTCTCTCATGAAATTGAAAGTGGAAATAACGTTAACACTGGAATTATAACAAACCCTGAGAGCACACTCCTGTTCATGTTTGGACAGAAAAAGGCCCTACAACTCCTAGCATTCGCCAGCCAGCACGGTCAGCTGGGGAATGCTGGGAATTCTAGAATTTTTCCTCTCTAAACCGCTTTAAGATTGTGCCCTAAGCAATTTTTAAGGAATGTTTTCAAATGCAAAATCATATTCATGGATATGTGAACTTCACAATAAAATCCATTCTTGCAGATCTGTTGCCCTCACCTCCTTCCCAGGCACCAGACAGGATATACAGCAAAGCCAATGAGTGAAAGCATGCAGATGAGGTCAGATGTATGCTGTACTTTCATCTCCTCTCTGAAAAAGCTGCTGAATTTTTCCCACAGTGTGTTAGAACTATGATCTGAATGGACTTTCACGATGCTAATGGAGAATGTTGCCCAAAATGCCTGGAGGTGAAGCACTATGTCAGGAAGAAACTTCACTCCCAGTCTCAAGATCCTTTTCAAAATAGGCCTATATTTTTAACAAACATTCTCCTACAGCTTCCTTTTCTAGTTAGTGAACATTTCTAGCTGTGTGTACATGTGCTCTTTCCATTTCTTAGCTTAGTCATTCATCATCATATTTGATTAAGCACTTTTCCCCCAGCACTTATTGGACTTAAGATGAGCTATCACACTGGCTGTGTTTGTCACCAAGTTATTACTACTGACAAAACAGACCAAGGCATTTCTCTTTCCTGCACTGAATATTACTAATACCAGAGCCATAAGCAAGCATGTGAAGTACTCTGTGTTGATCATACTAAACACGTCTAGTTCCATGTCTTTGTTCAATTGCTGTTGCTTCTGCAGTATATTTTTATGGATTCATTTTATAAACCAGTTGTGTTAAAAGATGTTGGGTTACAAGAGGTCTCCAAAATAGCCTTAGTTTTACAACTTTACTGAATGTTAGAATGTTTTATTCAGGAATGAACAACTTACTCTACAGCAACAATAAAGAAGTTAAAAGGCACAATGGTGTTATTTATTGGATTCTTCGGTATAATAGCAAAATGAAAGTTGTTTGTGTTCAGTCAACAGTTTTATCTGCTATTAAGGCTTCCAGCGTCAAAGGATCAAAGATGTTGTGCTACTAGAAGAATAACAATTATGGGAAAGAGGGACATGAGTTCAGTTAATCAAACCAGATATTTTCAAAATGGAACAGGATGTTTTAATATAGCCCAAGGCCAAACCTTTCCAAGTCAGCTCAAGAAGAGATTATTCAAGGACTAATGGGTTGCTGAATGTATTCAGTGACCATCAAAAACTCCATCAGGCCTGGTTTGCCACATGGCACCCTCAGCAACTACCAGAGCCCACTGTTAGAAACACAGAAAGCTGCCTTCTACCATAGAAGAAGGTTCCATCTAGCCCAGTACTGCTGATAGTAACTGGTGGCAGCTCTCCAAAGCTTCAGGCAGGATTCTTTCTCAGCACTGCCTGGAGATGCCATGGCTGAAGCTGGGATCTTCTGCATGCACAGCATGTTGTTCAGCTCTGCCACAGAAGGACAGCGCCTCCCATCCCCACCATTGAAATAATCCTTTGGAGCAGATAAATCTAGGAGATACAACCAGTGTAATTTCCTGCAAAGCACTGTGGGGCATCAGGTGCTGTGAATGACTGCTGCCTGGAAGGATCCATTGATGGAGGAGGCTCCCTGAAACCTGGAGTTGTAATAGGACATCACTCAGCAAAGGTGAGGAGGGTAATCTCATGAGATTATTCCTCCAGAGCACCCCTCTGTTCATGATCAGATGAGCAACTACAACAAATGCCTACTGCTTTGCATCACATTACTATAACAAATAGCCACATTGTGAAGCCTGCTTTGAAATCTGCTCCTTCTTTGAACCCTTGGCCCAAAAGGGCATCCCCAGTCCTATAGCCGAATCATAGCAGAATGGGAGGATCATGGAAGCCATGAATGTTATTGCATTCATTTGTGCTGTCGGGAAGAGAGAGAGGCATTCTGGGATGTTCTCCCCCAGGTGCCAAGCCAAGTTGGCTCAGGGTGTTGTTCACCTTGATTGGGTGAGCACCAGTTGCTCCTCCACACCCAAGCAGCAAAATATCTTAGGCTGCACTTGAGCCAAGATGAAGGAACTTTCCTGTTTTCCCAAGACTAAGGGAGTCCCAAGTCTAGGATCCTATGATCTCAGAGCCAAGACTCCAAAGGCTGAGCACTGCCTCCAACAGGGAAGATCTGTGCCAGCTGTTTCCTACCCTTTCTGGAGGTTAAAACTGGGCACTAGGGACAGCAGAAGGAGGTGTGCTGGGGAGAGGGAAGGAAGTAGGCCAATCCCAAGGGCTTACGCCGCTTCCTATCTGCCCCCCAGCCTCCTTCCCTCCCCCACCCTGCTGCTTTATGTAGATATTCAAAAATTCCCATGTCCAGAATGAGTTCAAAGGCTTCTCTATGCAGCAAGGATGTGAGGCATTGCATTGTGTCCTAGCAACCCTGGTAACATGCATCACATGCTAACTCAAGTAGCCAGTATAATGGAAAGAAAACGGTGCTACAAGTTTTGATTTGATTCCGTTAAGTGTGCAGTGATCATATGTCATCACATTTCCCTATAATTGCAAAGACATTAAAATGATGTAAATTCACAATTATCTAAATTGCATTCAGATTGTTAATTAAATCTAATGGAAGTATCTTTAATACTTTCCCTTTTCCATCTGCATTAGAATTTAAAGAAAGGGTTTCTATTAATTATTTGTTCATCTGAATGTTTAGCTTATCCATGATGCTTTGAGTGGTCTATGTACACATAAAACAGCAATGCACAACTTTTTCTGTCCTGACAGCCAGATGAGGTCTTTGCTGAGAGGCATGCATGCATGCCCATTCACCTGTTGAGATAAGCACATAAAGTCACTGTCTCTCAAGTACAGGCAGCTCACCTGATGAGAGATCATGGCAGAGCAGCTGCTTCGCATGCAGAAGGTCCCAGCATCGGTCATGGCATTTCCACGTAGTGCTAGGAAAGAACCCTGCCTGCCTGTGCCAGCAGTTAGGTTAGTGTCATTTTCCTAGCAATCACCCCAGGCAAGACCTCTGAAGAAAGGGAAGACTATTGCTGGCCTCCATACTTACAGGATTCAAGGGGAATCAGTGGCCACAACAGGATCCTCCACTACACCTGCGGGCTTAAAAGGTTACCTTAGAAGGATGCCTTCAAGGAAAGGTGACCTTGGAAGATCAGCTCCAACCCCAAACCATCTTATCCCTGCCAGACCCTCAAGTGCTGCAATGCATCAGGACTGAAAAGGGATGGATTTCAGTGGTGCACCAGGTCATCACACAAAGAGGGTGCAGCATTAAGTTGTCTACCATGCCAGACCACTGAATGTGTGGGCTCTGCCTCATCCATCCCTGGAGGTCCATCATATGATTGATCTCCTGATTCTGCCCCCCATTCCTCCCCCATAGCAATCCTTCCAGATGTGCACTGTTCATATGCAGAGATGCTGTCCCTGTGAAGATGTGCAGGCAGAGGGCACTACACCAGATGCAAAGAAAGGGAAATAAGTTGCCTCCAGTGCAGGAGAATGGGACCAGAAAGCTGAATTGAGTGGAAGAAAGAGGGGCTGGCAAAGTTCTCATGGAAAACAACAATTGTTGATGTTTATTAAAGAGGTGTGTTCCACAAGCTCTGGAATCTGTCTCCCACTCAGATGAAAATCACAGAAAGAAAGAAAATCACAACTGCTGGCTAAATATTCTCCTGTTAAACATAATGCAGACAGGAGATACTCTGGTGGTTCTTTATCTTCAAACTGGATTGAGACCAAAAGCGGAAGATGCCTTCAAACCAAGCACTGACCTCTAGCAGTCCTTCAAAGAAAGGGCTGTCATTTGTTCAGCAGCACACCCTCCCTGATGCCAGGTGTGCTCGCTGCGCCTTTGGCCTTCACGCCTTCTCCCCAGCTCTTATTTCAGGGCTGCTTCTCCACCCTGCCACTGGGTGACCATTGCATGTTTGGGGATCCCTATTCCTGACTTGTCCCACAGCTTCTGGCTTCCTCCTCACCTCAGATCATGACTCAGCCCTGACAAGTCTCCTGTACAGTGTACATCATTTGCCACTAGATTCTCAGTACAAGAGGGGCCTCACCAGATGTGCTTATCTAGAGTTGAGGGAAGCATCAGATTCACTGACTGGATCAACAAATCAAAGAAGGTGACCTATGATGCTGCAATTTGGCGAAGGGAGTCCCCTCTTCCACAGCTCTCTCTATTCTTCAGGGTGTCCTGACTCTGCGTTTTGAGAGGAATGGAGAAGCTGCAGTGGGAAGGAGGGGCAAGCGAGTAAACTTCCATTAGTGCAGTTGATCCAGCATAAATCTGGATGCATCCCCAGAGCTCATTTTGTCTTACGCCATAATCTTCAGTCGGTTTATTTGAAAACAAATACCATGTATTTCAACGGATCTATGACCAGGGCAGGAGGGCAGGAAATACCCTGGTTTGAAGAATACCATCCTAATTAAATGGAAGAGGTTTTCTTAATCCCATCTCCATTGCAAACAGAATTCCTTGTGTGATTAAAATGAACACAAGAAACTGCCCTGAGGGGAGCTGTGAGCAGGGCAAACCATGAGAGGTGCGCACAACCGTGTCCCTATATTACATTTAAGCTCAGTCAATCAGCTTACACAATTCATGGTCTGGTTCCAGATTTAAGCTCTCTTGGTGATGTACGGAGCAGTGAGATTACTTGGAACCTGGAGTACTTCCAGGAATACCAAAATTAGTGAGTCACTAATTAGGTAAATGTGACAGGAACTCATGGAGAAGCTAAGATAGTGAAGTAATTTTAACAACGAGGTGAGGTGTGATGTTGTGCTTGTGGCGTAAGCACTTCGTCAATTTATGCCCAAATACAAATTAAAGGAAGCATATTAGCCTGGATAAAAATTGCAGTGAACACGCATCTATATTTTATCATGGTTGCATAATGTGTGGCTCTAAAGTCTGTTCAGGAATAGTTAGTGTCCTCAGTCAAGTCAGGAAAGCAGACGGCCTAAAAACAAGCCTATATTTATCTGACAGGCTGCCGCAGGATTGTCCTGGGGGCAAACCTGGCCCTTCAGGACGGATGCAGCATTTCTCAAGGCTGTTTGGAGGCGCCTTCACTGGGTGCTCAGCAGTAACATTCCTTTTCATCTTCCAGGGTATGGTTCATGAAGCTGACTGCTAAGCTGCGCTTAAAGTTGGCTTTATGGGCAACGACTGGCTGCTTCACGACGATGTCAACAATGCATTACCCTTCACTCCAATCCCTAGAGGAGTTTTGCAACTGGGTGTGGCCGTCTGAGAGAAAAGAAAAAGTGAGGGGTGGATATATGAACAAATAAGCATGCACATGCTTCTGTTAAAGGACATCTTTCAGCTAGAGAGCTCACCTGAAGCAGGGTGGATGGGCCAAATCTTCAAGCGATTCAGCATTTCACTTTGCTACTATAGACATGGACAAGGTTAATTGCCAAAGCGGGGCTGTGGAACTGATTCTGTTGATGGTTTAAGTGTTAACATCTGCTGTAATTCATTTTAAATATGTCTAAGCTGCTCCTCCATCTGCATGCTGGCGTACATATAATTATAAAAACAAATAACATATCATAACATCAGACAGAAGCAGAAGAACTTTTCAATCAAACTCCAGTAATGATCACTCAGTCTAAAATCAATTTGGACTGAGTTATATCTAATCAGACAGGAAAGTTTTCATTTGATGCAAAAAGAAAGCACAACTGGCACAACTGTATCCCTGTCGGGAAGACATTATAAATTTGGGGTCCACCCCAGAGAATGCCCATCTAAATGCACAATGTGTTTCTCTTCAACAACAGCATGCAGGGAAGGGCCTTTTCTGAAGATATTAGGCAGAAAAATATCATTTTTAGCTTCACTCTCCGGGTTGCTAGGATCCTGATGGTTCAGAGCAGAAATGGGCAACC